GCGCCCACTGGTACAATGTGCTGATTTTTTAACCCCTCATTTTATTGATTTGTGGCGCACTTGTGTGCCTTGATTGATGAATGTGAGTCTTGGGTAAGGAACCATGGACCACCCAAACATAGTGTCCTACGTAAAAGACCTTGACGCACGAGACACCATCGGGAAATCACAATCAATTACATTGCAGGAGTAATTGAAGTTGGATCCTACGATACAACCGACTAGGCGTAAAGGATTGCGCAAACCAAGGAGGCGAGTTGGGAACTCGTGCTAAGAACCCACGAAAACCTTGAAAGTCAAAATGCTAAGGATGGACCGGGACTCCTCCAAACCATGGACATCGTTCGAGCAAATTAGAGGACTCCTTACAAGTTGTATGGAATCAAGAACTACGTAGTCCATGGTGCTAAGCAAAAGGGTGAAGAGAACATTCGCGCCAAGATTTCAAGGGTCATTAAGGACCCACAAGGAAATGAGGTGACTCGTAAAGTCGCCGAGTCATCCCACAACGAGATTTGGTACCGACTGCGCTTTAAGAAGAAAAAGGGCACGCAAGGACACCTTCATCATTAAAAATAACACAAAAAGGGCACAACAATGCCGAACCTCGGGTAAGACATGAAGTCTTACTAAGAATTTCATCCACTAAAGAGGAGATGAAATTCAATAAGAAGAGAAATTCAACCCAAAGTCCATCGACTCCCAAGAGACCTTGGGAAGAATTTGGGAAGTGCGCCCTAAGAGATTGGCTTGGTTGACCCAACTTGGTCAAGACCTTGGGCGCATTAAAGAAGTAAGTGTTGAATCACCACAGGAAATTCCCTCGAGAAAGAAGAGAATGATGAAACCTTAGCCTAGGAAGCAAGGTCTAACAAGGATCTTAAAGTCAAGCAAGTACCAACACCAAGGAAGGAGGATCATCAGCTCGTCGAGGCATCGTGATCAAAGCATCTAACCAGATTATTCACTTGGGATCGAGAAACCTTAACCCATCCTAGCCGAATTCCTTTCCCTCCCTCGGAAAATCGGCCCCCTCCTTATTGCAAAACCCTTCTACCCCATTCTTAATCCCATGTTTTAACGATTCCATACAAGTGGCAACCTCACAACCTAAGTTGCAACCTTGAAACTTGATCCTAATTCCTGTTCACCATATCCTCAAGTTTGAAACCCACTCTCTTAGCCCTGTAAACCTAATCGTTCCCAAAAACCCAACACGCATAGGCGTACAAGTATACAATTTCCCCGTGGAATACCTTCTCTATAGGACCACGGATCTACTCTTGACTCGTTAACCCTGCAATGATTTCCAAGTTTCGGGGACGAAGCTTCTCGTAAGGGGGGGAGAGTGTAACACCCCGTGTTACGGCCTTCAATCCCGGGTTAATTATTTAATTAATCCCGTTAATACTAATTAAATATGATTTAATTATGTTAGGTTTACCTTTAATTAATTAGTAAGGTCCACCCTGAACCGTGGACCCTTGCCCGAATAAGAGTCTTAAGCCTGTTAGGAATAAAGGAAGTAGGCCTTTTACTATTCAGATTATGATTAGGATCCTCTTTAATTAATATGGCCCACTATGGACCATGGACCCTTATCCCTAAAGTAAGCCCTAGCCCTATAAGGAATAGAATTAGTAAACTCACACTACAAGAAAAATCGCGATTCGCGACGGTAAAATTCCGTCGCGAAAATGTGAAATTCCGTCGCAAATCACGTTTTGCGACGGAATTTTTAATTTTCGCGACAAAATCCATTCCGTAGTCTCAGGGCTTGTCGTATTTCATTTCGTGACGGAAATAATCCGTCGCGAGTGATAGCGACGGAAAATGGTGACGGAATTGTTTGTTGTGAAGTAGGCGACGGAAGTCATTCCGTCGCGAGTCCGTCGTGATTTTGGCAACGAAAATGTTTCTTTATGTCGCCATTGCGTGAAAAAATATTCCGTTGCATATTTCTGTCGTGAAATATAACGACGGAAATAATTATTGTCGCGAATCCGTCACTAACATTTCCGTTGCAAATTTTGTATTCCGTCATAAAATTTCATCGTAAAAAAACGACGAAACAAATTGTCGTCGCTATTCCGTTGCAAATGTTGTCTTCTGTCGCACAAATTCTTCGTAAGAAAACGACGGATATAACGTACAAATTTTCCGTCACAAAATTTCATCGTAAAATAATAACGTAACTAATCACTGTCGTGATTCCGTCGCATTTTCGATGACAAAAATATTTTCGTCGCCATAATTACAATGAATATATTCCATCGCTAAAATTATATTTCATCGCAATTATGCTAAATTATTATTTTAATATTTTTGTAATTATTATTATTTTTTTAAAATTCTAATATTTGTATTTAAAATGTTAATGTGCAAACTAAAATACAATATAATTTGTTGTACTTAATACCAAAATGATGTATAAACAACAATATAGTAATTCATAAAAGAAAATCAAATCAAGGTGAATTCGGTCGTGATGAGGGTGATGATGAAGTAACAGCTTTCTCACTCTCAAGAGCATTTATTTTTTGCTGCATAAGAACCATAGAAGCCTTTAAATTCTCAATCTCATCTAGGACCTTTGCAGAATTAGCATTCTCGCTGCGAGGTTGATTCTATATTGTCCGATGTGTTAGCATTTATTGGACCACGAATGAATGTACCATATGAGCCAAGTCTGTAAACTCTTATTTTTTTATCATGTCCGCCAATTGCATCATAGTACAATTAACACTCATCTACTTTTTCTCTATTCTGTGTTAATACCTCCCGTTGCAATGCAATTTGTTCCAGCAAAAATTAAAAAATAAGTACAATTTTTATAACAATTCATATACATTCATCATGTTTTTTGGTATGTGTATGCTTGAATAATTCAAAATATGATGGACGGCGACCAAATTGCTTTTCCTAAAAATTAGTTAAAATAGAAACAAGATAAAATAAAAATTAAAACAAATAAGATTATAATATATAATAAAAATATTTCGAACATCAACTCAATAAGGAGAATATAATATAATCACACTGTTTTTATCACAATAGTGTCACTAAAAGTTTCTAGCAACATAAAAATACATAATTATTATTTTAAAATGAACAAAATTTAGAAACAATATTCAGTAGAGTTTCCTTTATAAGTAGCATTATCTCGAATAACACAAAGATTAACTCAATAAACACATTAAAATTAAATCACAATGATTTTATCATAATAGTGTCAATACAAATTTCTACCAACAAAATAACACATAATTTTTATATAAAGCAAACAAAATTCTGATAAAAAAATCAGCATAGTTTCCTGTATAAATAGAACTATCTCCCTGCTTAATATATAATATAAATATCTCAAACATCAACTCAATAAGTACATTAAAATAAAATCACAAGAAGTTCATCGTAATTATATCAATAAAAGTTTCTACCAACACAATAACGCAAAATTCAAACAATCCAAACATAATCACTTATAATTTATACAATTCGAATGAACTTACAAGTTGAGTGGCAACTTTGGAATGAGGTGTTGATCCTGTGGTATGCGTAGATTGAGCAACTCCATCTAAAACACCGCCACGTCTATTTCTCTTACCTAATTATGATTTTTTCTTACTGTCTTCAGAATTCCAAACATCATTCCAGTTTGCCCATATTTCTTCGTTGATATATGGATGTCTTGACTTGTTCTTCATTCTGCTTATATAATGAGCATATCTTCTTTTTGCATTCACTTCCCAAGCACTATACACTAAATCTGTTTTAGCAGCACTCCAATCAAAGTGCTTTTGCAATACACAGTATAAATAATATTAAGCATCAAAAGTTAGACAGGTAAACAAAAGAATTTTTAGATATATATTAAAATATTACTTTGAACTCTTCCCAATAAAAGTTAATTGTATCATCACTAAATTGCGCCCATGCATAGCCATTGGGATCTGTTCGTTCCTGGAATAGCTTAGTAATATTTCTAACGCAAACATCAGAGTGAGTCAACCTATAATAAAGGAAATTCATAGTTTAAAAGAAGTAATATATATTCAAATTTGAAATCTCATTTTAATTTAATTAACTTACATCTTGCCCTGAACATCAATCGATAAGCGTCCGTTATGTGTTATATTATCAACCCGATGATTTTGTTGCTCTGCAACATCTTCCCTTACTCTTTGATCATTAGTATCTATGGATTGTGTGGTTGGTATGGAAAAAGATAATGGTGTCGATGTTTTTTTGAAACATGGTGTCGATGTTGATATTAGGAATATTACTTAATTGCCTAACGAGCTGTAATTTCTTTAAAAAATTAGAATAAACATCGCAAAGATAAGCACTTTATGAATTAGTGAAGCAATTAACAAAGCAGTAGAAATTTAAGAATTAGAGAAGCAATAAGCAATTAACAAAATAAGAAAACTGAGTAATTACCAGCTACAGCCTACAGGTTCGCACTTCACATTTTGTAAAGAAATAAAATTAGTAATTTTGTAATATATTTTAACTTAATATTATTGTTTGAAAGTGCTTTTTCCTACCTTTGGGATTTGATACAAGAAAACATATGCATATTTTTAAAGGAAAAATATTTCTAAAATAACAAAGTCCAATTACTAGTTTAATACAAGGCTCATTTGAACAAAGAAATCATATTGATTAAGATTTTAATATGTGAACCAGTTAACAACATGAGAAATGTTAAAACTAAACATTAGTCCATTATTTTTATGTTGAAAATAGAAAGTCTACACAATGAAGCTAAGCCATCTGGATTCTGGAAACAAAACCTAAAACAACCCCATATTACTTTATTGTAATAATACAATATAACAAGATTCAAATATTTATAGTGTAACAAGCAACATCAACGTGCATCTATCAATATTAATTCTTAATCAATTTTTTATGCTCAAAGTTCTGAAGTATTTGTAGTAGTGCAAATTTAGTACTGCTTCGGTTAAAAATAACCGAACTTAACCGATAAGTACCTCGGTTATTTCAGTCGGTTATGTGAAGGTGATTATTTTTTTGGTTATTTCGATTATTAACCGAAAACCGACCGATGCTCACCCCTACAACAAACAATTCAAAACTCATTTCTGTTTCTGTTTAATGCTTCAGATCCTCAACCCATATTTATGCAGATTTTATAGCTTAACTCTGCCAACATAGCATTCAGAATTGGTATGCCAGCTGCATCCCCCAACCCCAAACTCATAATGATCCCCAAATATTCACAATCAACAATTTAAAATGCTTCTGGTGTTTTTACTGGTTTGTATATATACGTATATACAAACACTTTATATATATATATATACATATATATATATATATATATATATATATATATATATATATATATATGTTCCTATTCACACCTACACGGGAACAATGTAGAATTGAAGGAAGTTGTGCAGAAGAAAATGGGAAGGTTGCACTGCTTGGTTGCATTTCAAGTTTTCAACCACTAAACTAATGCAGTGCATGCATCTACAGGGAATTTGAACTCTAATTAGGAAATGCAAAAATCTAAACCTGGTCCATCAATATTACAGCACCACATGAAACGTCTACCACCACAATTAACATTGCTACTTAGTATCATTATATTACACATACAACAAAGAACAACACATTGGTTTAGGACTCGTAATAACGTGAATAGTATAACACAACAGAATGGGAAACTTTAACCATAAGTGCACCAGTTACCAGAAACCAATACCCTAATGCACCTCTGTAATTGTCAAACAAAATACCGAATCAGAGACAAAGACCACACATTCTCATCTAACACCTAATTCTCACTTGATTAGAAATATATATATATACATATATATATATATATATATATATATATATATATATATATATATATATATATATATATATATATCTACTATACTAATAAGAGCCCAAGAGAGTTAGGCCTATAATGGGTAGAAAAAATGGCGGTCACAGATTTTAATCAAATGAATGGCTCAGATTAATTAAAAGATTGATCAGATTTAAATTTTACACTAAAATTTCCTAAAATACCCACACACCGTTACTAATTCCGTTAAAATTTTAAGAATTGCCGTTAGTTCACCGTTAACTTACTCATTGATTTCAATTAAAAAAAAAAAAAGGTCTTAGGTTCGAACCTCATCCCAATCAAAGTTGGCATAATTAGTATTCTATTTTACTCTTATTAAATTATATAAATAATAATTTAGTAGTTACAACAAAAAACTACTATACTAATAAGAGCCCAAGAGAGTTAGGCCTATAATGGGTAGAAAAAATGGCGGTCACAGATTTTAATCAAATGAATGGCTCAGATTAATTAAAAGATTGATCAGATTTAAATTTTACACTAAAATTTCCTAAAATACCCACACACCGTTACTAATTCCGTTAAAATTTTAAGAATTGCCGTTAGTTCACCGTTAACTTACTCATTGATTTCAATAAAAAAAAAAAAAAAAAAGGTCTTAGGTTCGAACCTCATCCCAATCAAAGTTGGCATAATTAGTATTTTATTTTACTCTTATTAAATTATATAAATAATAATTTAGTAGTTACAACAAAAAATAATACATATGCATTTCTTTAATTTAGAATTATGTGTCCACAATGCCTTTATTCAAAAAAAAAAAAATTTTATTCATTATCAATCAATAAATAAGAGAAATAATTTTATTAGTTATATTGTCTTTATTTTTCTTCAATATAAAAATTCTTTATATTCAAATTTATTAATTGATTATATTCGCTACATTATCCTTACAATGTCTTTATTCAGTGAAATTTTTTTTATTAATTATCAATAAATTAATTAAAAGAAATATTTTCATTAGTTATATTGTCTTTATTTTTCTCAAATGTAAAAATTTTTACATTCAAATTCATCAATTGATTATATTCACTACATTATCTATTATCTTTTTTGTGCACTATTTTTCTAATTAAATATCAAAGTTATAATACAAAATAATGCTATATATTTATTTACCAAGTATTTTATTAATATCATGAAAAAATTAAAAAAATATAATTAATAAAGTCAACCATATTAACTACTTGAGAGATTTTGTGACAACGAGAGTATTCAAATCACACAACAAATTGAAGTGAGAACTACCTCGCAATGTCCTTGTTTGACAATCAGCAGTTAGCGGATTATACTAGCGGATTCGACCAGCGAATTTATTTAATTATTAACATTGGGTAGAAAAAGTGACCGCCAAATTATTAAATCAAATGAATGGTTCATATTGTTCAGGTTTTAATTTTTTCTTTTAAGATTTTCTAATTTATCCTTAATTATATGATTATCCATTTAACTTTTCCGTTAATTCACCGTTAGTCTAATTCTAATATTAAAGTCTAATATAGAATTATAACTACACTATTAATCTAATTCTAATATTAAAGTCTTAATAGAACTTAACCACAAATCCTAATGTCGGAATCTCCTCAAACAATATTAGTATATATTTAATATTTTATGTCCTAATTTTTATTTGTTCTCCCTTGTGTCCCGTATTTGGTTTCAACCATACCTATACAATTATTTTATTGACAATTATAATCAATGTTGACTATATTATCTTGCATTTGTAAACTTAGAATTACCTATTTAACCCGCACGGGCTTAGCTCAATGGTTTAGTGGGTAGTATTTGGGAGAAGAGACGAAGGTTTGAACCTCGGCGGCGGCAGTGCAGGAATTATGTCCAAAGTGGGCAGATTCCTTGTGCGTATCAGCATTTGGCCTTGTCTGCTGAACCATTGAGTCACCGTGATTTACAACTTCCCACAATGCTCTGTCGGGTCGGAGTGTGGGGGGGCTCTTGGGGTTGGGGACTCAACCTTTGGGAGAAGAATTACCTATTTAAATACGCAAATTCAACCTTCAATTATCTATGCATGAACAATTTCAATATAATCCTGCCTTAATATACTTTAAAGTACTTATTTAAAAAAAAAAGCATTGCGCATTATCCCAATCGCGCAATGCGCGTAAAAAACTAGTATATATATATACATTGTATACCCACAGCAAATAATAAATTTATAATAATACACAAAAAAGACTTCCAGAAAGAATCTAACCTCGGTCTCGGTCGCCTCCTCGCCGCAACCTCGCCTCACCGCAGCCCCTCGCCGCCTCTTCGTAGCACGTCGCCGCCTTGCTGTAGCACGTCTTTGCAAAGTTGCAGAGTCTGAAGCCGATGAGGGTTAGAGATTTTAGGAATTTATGACTTAGAAAATAGAGATTTTAGGAATTTAGTTATTTTAGAATTTGATGTATTTTAGGATTTTAAGAGTAAATTAAAATAGGATTTAGGATTTTAAGATTTTAGTATTGTAGTAAATTAAAATAAGATTTAGCTATATATATATATATATATATATATATATATATATATATATATATATATAGACTTGCACTCGGGTGCGAATGGCTTGCCCAGGCGCGAAATAGGAATGGATTCTGTTCGTCCACGTGTCCAGATCTAATGGATGAGAAACACTGATTTTTAAAAAAAATGCGGTGGCATTTTCGTAAATAATTGAACATCGAAGTGCAAGTAAAATGTATTACAAGTGCATGTAAAATGTATTATAGGTGCAAGTAAAAATTTACACTGAGCATCAATACTTAGTTGCACTTATAGTTCTAAGTAGTTGCACCTATAGTTCTAAGTAGTTGCACACATAGGTATAAGTAGTTGCATCTAGGTGTATGAATGTTTACGAGTGGTTTTCAGGAGTATTACTACCCGCTGAACTCAGATCAATGAATGTTAACAAGGCAAGATTACATGCACTTATAGGTGAAAGTAGGTGCACCTATAGTAATAAGTAGTTGCACCTATAGTTATAAATAGTTGCATATATAGTTATAAGCACACCCAGGTGCATGAATGATTGCGGAAAGTGAATGCTAACAAGGCAAAATTACATGCACTTATAGGTGAAAATAGGTGCACTTATAAGAGATTTTACTTGCACTTCGATGTTCAATTATTTACGAAAATGTCACCGCGTTTTTTTTTTAAGTTATTAGATCTGGACACGTGTCGCGGGCTGATTCGTTCGCATTTCCTTCCTGGGCACTTATTCGCACCTGAGTGCGTCCCTATATATATATATATATATATATATATATATATATATATATATATATATATATATATACATAAAGTTGTGTAGTTTCTAATTAGTGAATATAATACATATACTTCCTAAATAATTAAGAAAATTAATTATTTAATTATTTTTTACATTTCTGTATGTTAAAAAAAGGTTCTTATTTCAGTTCGGTTAATGGATTAAGGTTTTTTAAAATTTGGATATTAATTATTATCTTTAGGAGTGTGTACAATTCGGTGAAAATGTGTTAAATAATCGAACAAAAAATTCAATTAATAAATTTTTAAGGTAAAATATTTTAGTTCGGTTAATGGACAAAGATTTTTAAAATTTTAACTATCAATAGTTTAATTAACTTAATTGACATATTGATTAAGTGCATAGTTATTATTAGTGTGTGCAGGACCGTTCCATTAAAAATAGGGATCATGTGTAATAGTTTAATTTGGACTCCAAGTTATTGTATTATATAACAAAAATAAAAATGTAATTAAAATGTTTTGTCCAAATATAATGCATAAAAATTTAACAAATGGAAAATACAAATCAAAAGTGTAATAGAGTTAATAGTATTAAAAAAAACGGTGTCATTTTTTGTTCATATTTAAATACAAAATTATTTACCAAAATTTCGATGTCAATTCTTCAAAAATTTTATTTTCAATTACAATGAAGACCAAAATAGATAAATATTTAGTACAATTTTAAATATAAAATAAAAATAATTACTTTCGATACAATCAAAATGAGTATTTTAAAAAATTGATTAATTAAACATTCATATTAATTACCAGGACTATGTGGTCTAATGGTATCCGGGTTGGACTTCCATTTGGAAGATTATGTGTTCGAGCCTCAGTGGAAGCGTTATTGGTTCTTTGTGTTTCAGTAGGTTGAGAAAGTATATGAACAGATACTACAAT